CCTCGCCTCAGCCCTGTGTCCCTCGCGGCCCTCACCGCCGGTCGGCCCGGCCCGGGCCTTGCGGTTCACCAGGACGCAGCGTCCCAGGCGGCAGTTTTTGTTCTCCCTCAGCCACTCGAGAAATCCAGCAACGCGGTTGCTTCATGTCTTGGTTTCAGAGGGTTTTCAGCCCTCTTTGGCTCGAGGCCATTAGTAGTGCCCTCCAGCAAAACAGCATGATGGGTGCCTCCGAGGAAAGGGAAAAAGGGGAAAAAGAGCCAAAGTGCAACTGGAAGGGGAAGGCAACTGCCGCGCTTCAGTGACTAGGCCTGCAGTGGGCCTTGCGTTGGCAGTGTGTTTTGCTGCAGTTATCAGACACAATACTGGGGGAGGAGGTGCCCAAAGACACCAAAACATTGTTGCAGGTAAGCCTTGTGATATTTAGGCTAACTACATGGCATCTTTTTCTAAGGCGGTTGCAGCAGTGTCTTCCTTCTGTCACACACATGCACAGCAACTTGCAACCTCACGCTCGCTCATGGCTTACAGGGACATCTCAAAGTCTCAGCTGGAACACATCAGATTTGTCTCTCGCACCTCCAGTTTACCTCCCCCTCCTTCACAAACACATACACTGTCTCCCACCACTTCTCCCTTGTATGTCCCTTCTCAGCCGCGCTATCCTGCCCCAAAAGTCAGCTACAGATGCCTCCCTTTTGCTGTTCCTCTTCATTTTAGTACCTTCTAAATGTGCTAGAAATCTTTCAGTGTCTTCTTTACTGAAAGAGTGGTTAAACATTGGAATAGGCTGCCCGGGGAAGTGGTTGAGTCACCATCCCTGGAGGTATTTAAAAGACGGGTAGATGAGGTGCTTAGGGACATGGTTTAGTGGGCATGGTGGTGTTGGGTTGACGGTTGGACTTGATGATCTTAGAGGTCTTTTCCAACCTTAATGATTCTATGATTCTATGATTCTAAAAGCGCTAGAAAGCACTTGGCAGGAAAGTCTCCCTCTCATTCCGTTCTCAGAGATGAGGGAAGCAACCCTGTCATCCGCAGCCCCTTAGGATGCCTTTCATTCGTCCTCATTTCTTTGGAGAGGAAAACTGAACTACTTTCATGGCTTTAAACTACCATAGTTAGCTCAGGAAAAAAAAAACATTACTGGTCAGTGCAGGCAGGCAACAGCCAGAAGGGCAAATGCCTCCCACCCAAACAATCCACTGATCTGAGCCTGTTTCTCGGGACTCTCCCTTCTTGGCCTCACAGTTCCTTCTCCTGTCACACAGGACAGGATGTGCATTCAGTCACTTCAGACAAATGCAGGTCCCCTCTTGTGGGATTGGACATCCAGACACGAGAGACATGCACAAGTGCATCAGGGCAAGGGACTGTGACTGCAAAGCCCAATCCATAGCCAAATGTGTTAGTCATGTGGTGGAAGAGAGCTGCACCTCAGTCACATGTTTTTTTAAACAGTCTTGAAGGATTGAACAAAATTACAATAACACAGTTAAGCATTAACTTGCTACTACTTACCCTGTAAACAGTAGCATGGCTGCTTGCCTTTGTGGTCTGACTGCTGTGGAAAGTTCAGAGCAGTTTTGCGCAGTGAACACCCAGAGTTAAATGAGGGATGCTGAGATGCATAAATGAAGAGTGTACAAATACTAAAATGCTACAACATAAAAAAACCTTATCGACTTTACTGTGCAGCAGTTCACTTGGGGTAAGTGGCACATGGAGCATGAGAAATGAGCCCGAGCTAACGAACCCAGGAATTACAGTATCAGCTTACCTTGACTGACTGGGGATGAATTTGGGTAGGCAGGAGAAGCATCTGCTGGTAGTCTGAGGAAGCCCCCCAGGATGGTGTGTCTTGGGTAAGGGGGTATATTCCAGAGACTTATGGACCTTTTCTGTCTTTCACCCGCCTCCTTTCAGGAAGTCTGAGATGTGGCAAATGTGAGGGGCTGCTGTTCTTTCCCAGAGAAACTGGAAAGCCTTCCCAGGAGATGCATTGGACTGACCGAGTTCTCACACTACGCCCAGGTAAGTCTCAGCAAAGTTAGTGAAAGAGCTAAGTACACCTAGGAACACTTCTGTGTGCGCTTTTACTCTGAAGACCTGTGGGGATTGAAAGCCAGAGGAACTTTTCCCTTCTCTTCAGCTGGGCTTGGATGAGAGCCCCAAAAAACACACAGTAACCCAACATTGTGAAATTATGAAACGTGTTAGGGAACAGTCATATTTTCTTAGTATCAAAAGAGAGGCCATTATGTAATAGTTGCCACTGTAGGGGAACAGGAATGTCTGCTTGGTTCCATGATTACAGGGTAAGTAGTAGCAAGTTAATGCTTAACTACATTACTGTAATTTCGTTCAATCCCTCAAGACTGTTAAAAAAAACAACAGTGGAAAAAGTCTGGAGCAGTTTTATTACGCGACACACAAATACCACCCTTTGATCCAATTCACTGCCCTTCCAAAGGAAGAAATCGGTGCTCTCCAAAAGAGGGAGCCTGGTCTGTAAGTAAAGGGAGAGACGCCTGATTTCTCACCCTGCCTCATACGCCATTGCCCTGGTAAAGTCACTGACTGTTCCTGTCCTTGCGTGTTAGGGAGTTACAAGAAGCCAGTGCTTGACTATGCTAAAAACGTGCTTGCCTGATGCTGGACTGGCAGGACAAAAGCACTGCAGGGATGGTCTGTCCTTTGCAAACCCAAAACCGTTTTTTTATTGGCACAAATGTCAGGCAAGAGCATGCACCGCTACTGCTCGCTCTGCTCTGCCGCCACTGCTCCACCACCACTCTGCTTGTGGTCTTCGTGCCACGCAATGAGAAACAAGTGAAGGTTTTGCTGCTTCCCTGCGAGGCTGGCAGAAGAGGTGTGGGCTGTACTCCACTGGCTCTGGCTGTGGAGAGCAGTGCCTGGTGGTTTCTGTAGTGTAGGGGGGAGTTAGTCGAGCAGCGTCTCCTCAAGCAGTTTGCGTACCTGCTGCAGGGCCTCCTGCCCCACTGCAAAAGGCACCGAAAGTTTCTAAAACTCCGCTCTGTGTGTGGCACGCGCCTTTTACATTTATTACGAGCCGTTGTGCTAACTGCCGTGACAGTTCCCCCCCCCCCGCCCCCCCAAGGGCGAAGAAGACT